CTTTAAAAACGATGATTCGTCAAAATTGCGAAATTTAAGTCCCGCGAAATATTTCTATTCCAAATCTTTTCACGGTTTTTTCAACTTTTTTACAGACTTTTGTATGGTATGGTGGGGGGGGGGGGGAGCAAGTTTGTGCCCCCTACAAACTTGTCGCGCGAAAATAAGTGATTATGAGGTACGCCTGGTATATTAAAAGAGTTCCCCCCGGGCCCTTCATCCAAACAATGACTGAAAATATTTGTCACATTTCACAGGAAAAAATAAAAAGTGGCATACAGCGAAAGAGGGTATGTATGATCATCCAATTGTTGATTCTCCAGGCGTTGTTTGCAGATGTAAGTAATCCACATGCTGTCTGTCTGTTAGGATGTAATTTATTTGTACCGAGGACAAAGCCTTTCATCGTCGTATTAAACACAACTGAGTTGATATACCGCATCAAGGCGAGAGTAGACGAGGTTAAATTACAAGAAATTTTTGTATCCACAAACATACAACTTCCTCGGAAGGACCGCTAATCCCGGGGCAAAAACAAACGAATCATTATCAACCCAATTGATAATGATGACTATAATACTTAATCGATCAATTAAGTCCGTGTAGGGATTCTAAGCATCTTCTTTGTTGTTTCTAGTTAAGCTAGTGTATTTGGAAAAAGTTTACAAATTTCTTCACAGCCCAATTATATAGACAGTTCACTGGGGCTCGGAGATGAGATGAGTCGAACATGATTGAAACAAAAGCTCATAACAAAACATATTTGGTCTGGTCTCTCCCGGAGGGGAATTCCTCGCTGGATCGACTTATCAACACTATTTACCTGTACTCTCAGGGCCAAGTCACAGTATTCTATCAGCTGAACTCGTCAAACGTTTTGGCCAGTTTTCTTTTCAGTGTTTTTTCCATGAATGGGTGATGAGTTTACAATCCTACTTCTCTGTCACTTTGAAATCCGATAGGCTCTGGGCTTAATGGTCACGTCACTTTATCGCTTGCTGATTGATGGCTCGTCACATAGGTCGTCATAAGGCTCTCATAAGCTCCCCCGCTTTTGGCGCTTTGTAAGGCCCTCCCCCCCGCGTGTATATATATTTCGGAGGGCACAGCCTTCCTTCTTCAGGGTCTTACATATAATGAAGAGGTTAACCTAAGACGTTCAAATTTTAACGTCATAGCTTATCCTTTTCATCATACGTAAGACCCTAAAGAAGGAAGGCTGAACCTTCCCAAATATATATACGCTTCAGTGTAATAATGGAGTTTAACTGAAGAGTGGGTCACCTTTTCGGTGGCCTACGAAACAGGCTTGTATTAAACACCCATGCACTCAGGATTTGAGTAGTTCACCTACTGGTCTATATATATATATATATATATATATA